AGAAAAAAGGAGTGGGAAGTAATGAGAAGTTTGGTGTTGTAAACAAAATAATGTCTTTGACTTCACAATTTCTGTTGCAGCTTATTCATACATGTTTTTTTTCCCCATCACTTGGATCCTTAACTCCACTTAAAAAGTGATCATCTCTAGATTACTGAGAGTCACTTATCACAGCACCAGCTGCTCAAGCACTGCTTCTGCTGTGATGTGCCTCCTGAGATCAGCCCACGCTTTGAAATTAAATTATCTGCAGAGTTTTAGTATTACCACTTTCACAGCCTGAGCAAAATCTGTAAAAAGCATGTAAAATATGATGGTACTTTGACTCCAGTGGAAAACATCGGACAACACACAGGTATGTCAAAGTTTTTACGGGTCCTTATATGATCCAACTTTACCACAAGGAAATATTCAGTTCATGACACATCATGGCAACTCATTAACAAGCAGGATTATTTCATGCTATTATCTGTTGTCAAAAAAGTTCAAGAGGATTCATAAATCCTCATTTTGCACAAAAATGGTGCCATGAGGGTGAGTTTTTACCTGGTTATCATATAATAAAAATGATTCTATGGCTGCAAGCTGAACCTACTGCCCTCAGCTGAAGAGAAAACAATTTAGACTGAGGGCAGAGAGGGTCAAAAGAAACTATGTACAACAGAGAAGGTTAATAAAAAGAACTGAGAAGAGAGCTGAATAAAAAAAACTGTTCTGTATTACTAGTGATTTAATACAAAGAATGGAGTGAATTTTGACTTGCTGGATTCATTGCTGGGACAAAGGCAAATAATCTGAACCGGGGCATTAAATATATATATAGGATAATATATTACTAATATATAATATACTATATATATATATATTAGCTAATGCATGTCCAAAGTTACAGTAACGTCCACCGATGAGCTTGTAAGTTTTCTTGCTTTGTTGAAGTTAGTTTAGTTGCTGAACACAAGGTGAAAACTAAAAAAATAAGTGCGTCAAATTATTCATGGCGTAGTATGGTTGATTTTTCTATTTTATAACAAAATTAAATAGGAATAAGTAAATAGAGTGTATCAATTAAGTAATTTACCTCCAGATTATGCTCAAAGTGGCTGAGAGAGCCAGGTGGGTTTCTGGAGTGCAGGTCATCCAGGTATTCTTTGTATGACTTCTCCTCTTTCCTCATCAGGTTCTCTCGTGTCATCTCATAATTCCAGGGCGGTCGTCGTGGGAAAGCAAGACCTGACAGTGAATAATCAAATTTGAGTGTGTCAAGCCGTGACCCACTCCATTAACCTACTCTGCTCATCTGTTTGGCTTATTTCGAGAGCGTCATGCGGAAAGCATTAAAAACAGCCAAACCTTTCTCTGAGGGGTAGATGTCATCGATACTGATCTCAAGTAGTTTGTCTGAGACGGGCTGCAGCACCTTCTCCCTGGCCAACTTCTTCCTCTTTTCCACTTCTTCTTTACTCTCTTTTTCAAAGTGCAGTCGGAACCTGAGTAGAGGAGCACAAAAGGGGGGTTTCAACAAGGCTCAGGCTTTAGGTAATTGCCTAGTATTGGGTCTAGATTTAACTTTAAATTACACACTAAACAAAACAGATGTCTTAGTTAATGTTAGAGGAGAACATTGACTATACACAGCACAGTGTTTTCTATTGCCAAATTAGAGCAATCAAGATACTGTAAGCAATTTCCAATCAAACAAAGTCACTAAAATACAGCATCGATGTTCTGACATGCCTCCAATTAATTATCATAGTTGCTACTTTTTTGCTAAATTAAGCATCATACTTCTGAATGTCAGATAACAGATACCCAGTGCACAATGTGCATTTGTCTCAGCAGAATCTTTACACTTTCAAAATACCATTCTTTTAATAAAAGTGAGTATTAGTAATGACACTGACAACTCACCTGTTGGGGTCATATCTACCTTCTCTGCTGAAGGGCTGCTGATTTATGCTCCTAATATCAGTGGTCTCACTGTCTGAGGTGTCCGACTGTCGTTCTCCTCGCTCCACGCTGGCATTGCGGCTGCTCGGCCCAGAACCTGTGTCACCTAGAAGTCAGGGGGAAAGTTCAGGGATCACAGTCAAACACGGGCATTCATCACGCACCAATCAGCTTTCTTAATACCAAGATCTACTTTTTCCACTCGTATTAGCTATTACATTTATTAATACGCTTCAAATCAGTCGTCCTCAACCAAGTCCCGATCAAATTGCTCTGACATCTTGATGACAAGTCTTCATTGACCCTAAAATGGCCTCCTGCACTGATGTTAGTTATTAACCACTGTATGACTTCACCTTGGTTAATAACAGGTTGTTTACACTTAGAATAACAGATACTCACAATTTAATAAGTGTATACGTGAGCTTATGTTGCCGAGACATCCATTGCTTGGTTTACATTGCTGGGTTGAATGTTAACTCTGAACAGATGACATTTTACGCTTTGACATAAAGATTTATAATTTTTAAAGTCATGGTACAATTGAACACAGAACAAGACAGACACAGAAAGACCTAAAGAAGTTTTTTAAGTGTGTTAGTGAGTCTTAAGTAAGGTATGGAGCCTACATTTTTTAAATGTGAATATTAACTCGTATTTTTCTAAATCTGGGGGCAATAAACAACCTGAACAGTCGCACAAACACAAGTCTGCTGTGTCCTGTGCTGCTCCTTCAATATATAACAAGCACATGGAAATCTCTGAGCCAACATGTCACCACTGTTGAGTGCTGTTTTGAAGTAGCTCTGTAGGTGACCGCACACTAACACGCAGCCCTGCATAATTAGGGGGCTAAAAATCAAATAGACGTGCAGTTTTTTTCTTTTTAAAGCTTCTGTAATAAACACAGACGCCTCTGCTGTTGCCTTGTACTATTTACACTCAAGTTAGAAAGCAAGTTATATCACAATGCTAGTTATTACAACGAGCTTACAGGCAACACGGGGGTTTAATTTACGGGCTGAATAAAAGATACTCGATAATATTACTTAACCTAACATTACACAGACACGCTGTTCGTGGTTCGTAGCTAACTGCTAACGCTAGCATGGCACCGCTAACCACAAATGTTAAGTTACCTCTCTTTCGCTCCCGTTTGACTTGTAGCTGTTTCTTCTTCTGCTTGTTGCTGAATGGCTTTTTCCGGGGCATACTTACAAAAATAAGCTGATAAATATATATATATATATATAGCTACGCTCTGTGTATTGCTGCCTATAGCTTGTCTTATTGACGTTATTTACATAGGTGAAGTTTCTCGACTCCTACACTTTTCAGTGACGCCATATCCACTGCAGAGACTGGTGGACGAGACCACGTTTCGGTGTTCGCAAACTGCCCGAGTTTAGATCATTTTGGCTTTAAATTATCTTGATCTTATTCAGATTGATCTTTACGCCGCGTGAATGGCCTTACTCTGGGTATCATGTTATACGTGTGCCGGGAAAATGTTGGCTAAACTGACAGTGATCACCCCTCCCCCTCCATTTAATGGTACAGTCCACTTTTTGTAAACACCTCACACATTTGCACATTCCAGCAGAGCAGACATGCCTAAAGCAACAAATATACCTGGTTGATAAGCGGCATCATTAAGTGTCAATTTGGCATAACACAAACAAACATGGCGTTTGCATCTGTAATGTATGTAAACTATCCTGGTAATAGTTTTTTGTTGACAAGTAAAAGGTATTTACATGCAATAAAATGAGTCCAGTAATCAATTACTCAATCATTTTGATAGTTGATCAATTTCTCTCAGCCAAATATTCTGTTTGTCTTCTCCAATGTGAATATTTGATATTGAATATCTTTATGTTTTGAACTGCAGTCTAAAAGGTTAGCTTGAGCCTTTTTTTATGGGCTTTTCCACTATTTTTACACACCAAATGATTCATGTATTAATTGCGGAAACAATAACCAGATTAAAAACGATTAGTAACTAAATAAAAGTCTCTCCATAAATAATGTATTTGGCACTAGACTGAAACAAAAAAATGCCAGTGAGAAACATTTCAGAGGGTTTATTGTATTATAAGCCGAAAAAACACTAATTTCAGATGTGTCAGTATGTCATCAAAGAAGTATTATAAACATTGTCATCGTGGAAGTATAATAGCAAGAACACATTTGGATAACATTACTTTCAGGACATAGACACAAAGCAGTACAATAGGATTACATGAAACGTGAACCAGCTCATCACTTCCCTGAAGGTCATGTGGAGGCCTGCGAATGGGTCTAAGTAGGTTATATGGATTACCACATCCTTTAAACACACAATCATACTTCATAAACTGGTAGTATATATCTATATATACCTGATTGATATTTTTTCTTTCCTGAAAAGGAAATAACCTCTACGTCCCTTTTGAGGTTAAATAGAATTAACTGTGGGCATGTATTTTACAACATAGCAGAGGTATCAACACTGATGTAAAAACTGAAAGTCTCTGTAGGAAAGTATAAAAAATTTACCTTCACAGTCAACTACCAATTTTATCAGCAGACAAGCCATAAATTGCTATGGCCAAAGCTGTATTTGTAGGGAAGAGCAGGAGGTGATAAAACAACAATAAAGAGAAGTGCTGTCTCTTTGACTTTCTTCCCCATCATAAAACCATCACTGTGATGGACTGAAACATACTTTATTGCAGCCTTTACATGCACTTTCTACTCAGACAGGACAGCTAAGCAAAAGGAAATCAAACAAGGCAGAAAGAAAAAGACAGACAAACTAAAAAAAATAATAAAACAAAATCCTAGCCTTCAGTATACTGTGCCACCATATTGTTTGTCCTGTCTGCCTCAAACCATCATTCAGGCACAGTCATTTGTGTGTTCAAGTTCTCGTATTATCCAAGTATTGCTTTTTTTTCCTGCGATTCTCCAT